ATTTTTTTCCAACACTGACACAGTTAATCTGTCAAAGAAATGAAAGATGATTTTTAACTAAAATGTACATCTATAATCAGTATACAGGGTAGCTGTGACATCCTTTCCTTCAGGAAGCTTTCCTTGATCTTCTAAGTCTGGGGTTAGATGCTCTTCCAGTTTCCTATGGTAGTAATCTTTATTTTCCATTCTGTAGCATTGAACACTATACTGTAGTTAGCTATTTGCATTTCCATTTGCCAAAGCACATTATTCACTACTGTATTTTGAATACTTAGCACAGTGCCAGCACATGGTGGGAGGCAGGGCTGGGAAGTGGAGGAAGAACAGAAGCAAACAACCTGTAGCAGAATATCATTTTTATACATCAATTCAATGTGCTCCTCTTTGCAAAAGCCAGAGGCAAAAGGCTTTTTGCCTTTGTACATTGAATTGTACACCCAGGAATAGATCTTTATCCAATAAAGGGTCCTCTGACTGCTCCTGGATAAAGACACACTCAAAGACATTTCAAATGACTTAGCAAAGTGCAGCCTACCTCTGGACCAATTTTCAAAAGCAACTCAGGTAATTTCTAGGAGAAATGAGGCAAAACATTGCTCTATAAAATTCAAAGGGACACCTCTCAGGGTAGCTCTGACAAAGGCCCATAGACAGAAAAGTGCAACAAGACCTACTAATAAAAAATTACCTTAAGGGCAGAAGATCAAACACTGCATGTTCTCACTCATAGGCAGGTGTTGAACAATGAGAACACATGGACACAGGGAGGGGAGCACTACACACTGGGGTCAGTTGGGGGGAAATAGGGGAGGGACGGTGGGGGGTGGGGAGTTGGTGGGAGATAGCAAGGGGAGAGATGCCAGATGTAGGTGATGGGGAGGAAGGCAGCAAATCACACTGCCACGTGTATACCTATGCAACAATCTTGCATGTTCTTCACATGTACCCCAAAACCTAAAATGCAATAAAATAAATTGGAAAAAAAAAATTACCTTGAGGAAATGGGGAGGCTAGGCTCTAAACTTTGACTTAAAGAACTCTCAGAACTTCCCATAGACTCTTTTATTTCTCACTGGCTACCTCAGGCTCCCAAGTAGCTGGAATTACAGGCGCCCACCACCATGCCTAGCTAATTTTTATCTTTTTAGTAGAGGTGGGGTTTTGCCATGTTGGCCATGCTGGTCTCCAACTCCTAATCTCAGGTGATCCACCTACCTCGGCCTCCCAAAGTGCTGGGATTACAGACATAAGCCACTGTGCCTGGCCCCGTATAGACTTTTCTTAATCATGTTTCTGTCATTTGCTGGCTTTGTGATCCCATACAAGGTACTTTTTATTCTTGAAGCTTAGTGATTGCTAAAGGAGGAATAATATTTGCTTCCCCAAGTAACTGGGAGACTTAAGTGTGTTTCTACAAGAGAAAAAGGCAGATACCCAATAAGTACTCGAAAAATATGCCAACATTTCTCACACACACCTGCCACAGGAACAGGATGCAGTTTGGTCTATAACAAAAGCTTGGCGTATACAGAAAAGTAACTGGATCCCTGCCACTTTTTATTCACTTACAGGAGTCAAGGAGAATGATGATTTTCCTAACATCCAGTACTATCTCAAAGCAAATCTGCCAAGAAGAAAGTTTATTTTTGTCACTTTCCTTTAAACTTTCTCCCTCCACTCCACTGTCAGTTCCTTGGGGGGATCAACTAGTGCCTCGTTTACCAATAACTTTGTCTCAATGAACTATCATAATCCCAGATAGTTTGTTAGCTCAGTGGTGCTCAAACAGCACCACTCCATCATGTAGCAATTCAGGAAGGCCCTTGTCCTTTAAAGGGATCTTAGGTTACACCAGACAGGCCAGGAAAGCAGCCGTCATTTGGCTGGGTTTAGATAAAAGTGACTGCAAATGTGGCTTTACAGTCGCATCGCTGCAGAAGCTGTCAACTGAAAATGGGCAAAAGACATTTGTGTTTTACCGTGTGACACTAGGAAATATTTAAGATTGAAAGGGCAACTCCCCAAGTGGTCTTTTTAATGGGCTCGGGGGCTTTCCCTAGTGTCCCTCAAGTCAGATCGATTTGTTCAGCTCATTTTTAGGACCAGCCCTGGCTGATTCTGAAAAATCAAGACATGCGTGGAGGGCCCCAAGAGTTCTCTGAAATCCTCAGCTGGACGGTTCACAGCAGGACAAGTGCCAAGAGGCTCCTCCCATCAACCCTGAAGCCTGGGATCCATCCAAAACTGCTCCAGGAATCCTGATGGGTTCCAAGGAATACTTCCCAGGGAATTACTAAGAGGCCTTACCAGCGGGGCGCCTGTCCTTTCAAAGGGACCCACAGGAGGTCAGGGCTGTAGTGGAGATTCAGGTCTATCCTGGCTCAGGGCTCCCCAGGAAGAAAGAGAGGATGGATACCCAGTGTTTACTGAGAGAGTGAGAAAGACAGCCTGTACATCACGGATGAACCTTGAAAATATTTTGCTAGGTAGAAGGAACAGTCACAAAGGACCACATATTGTATACTTCCATTTATATGAAACGTCCAAAATAGGCAAATCCATACAGACAGGGCAGCAGGTTAGGGAGAAATGGGGAGTTACTGCTAACAGGAACAGGGTTTCTTTTTGGGGTGCTAAAATATTCTAAAATTGTGGATTTACTCTGCTCTGTGAAAACACTAAAAATCATTGAATTGTACACTTAAATCGTTTAATTTAAGAGGTATATGAATTATATCTCAATAAAGCTATTTAAAAAACAAGCAAACAAAACCATCCAGAAGTTTACCTTGCAATAAGGAAGCCCTTAAGTTCAGAGGAATCCAAGTTGCTCTTCTGAAAAACCAAATATCCAAATGCTGTTCATTCATTCATTTATTCATTCACTCACTCTAAATGTACCAGTGAGTTCTCTATGTGCAGACTGGACCACGTTGTCAGAAAGAGAACACCAGGTCCTTCACTGCATCCAGTTTAAAGCCTGTTTGCTGGATTTGAGTAGAGCGTCTCTATCACCTACTGCAAGTATTATAAAAAGGGCCCTCTCTGTTGCTCAGTAGAGGAGGGGCCCCAGGACCTTTAACAGGGGAGTTTCAGGAAAGTCCATTTTCATTTCTGCGTTCCTCTCCACAGCCACCAAAGTCGTACTGCCATCTTTGTCGTGTTCCTGCCCCTACTTCCACCCCCTTCAGTTGCTGCCAACAGAGGACTCTCCAAAACTTGCAGAAATAATGGGACTCTCAGCAGCAGCTCCAGAAGCAATGTTTAGGGGGAAATCCTGTGAGAGCTGCACACAAGCTTCATTTGGACACTTTAGTAAGAGCAGGTCCAAAACCCTCCGGACCTTAGCAGAGCAACGCTGAGCCACAGATGACCCAAGAACCCAGCACTAAGATCTGAGCGCCTGTGGTCCTGGACCTGCCGGCGGCCTCCAGGCCCTGGTGTGGGAGTGAGGCCACTGTAATGGCCCCATGGTGCTCCTTTTAATCGAGCCCTAACCCTGTCCCCCCGCTGGGCAAGCTGTGCGCAAAAGCCCAGCTGCCCCGGATGCCCATCCGCCCAGGCGCTGCGTAATAGGAGGCTTGTGGGGGCGCGGGGTGCGGGGGGTGTCAGAGAGATAAAAAGGGGCAAATGAGAGGTCGACCAGCTAAAGCGGAGAAGGTCATTCAACATTACAACCAGGCGGTGTCTCTCTCAAAACCGCAACCTCCTGGCCTCTGGCACCAAAGCAAAACGCACGAAGTATCCCAGCTTCCAGGGCAGAGAGGTGAAGGAGCGCCAACCACCCCCATCCATCATCGCGCTATGCCTAGCTGCTTTCCTTTGCGTCCAGCGACTGGTCCCTCAGCTACCCAAATCTGTGGCAGTGCCAACAGGTGGCTGGGTAAATTTCATCCCCTCTGATCTCCATCAGCGGCTCTCCCAAGCTATCCCAAACACAAGCTAAATAAAAACAGCGTATTTTTAATGCACACACAGCCCTTCAAGACCGATCCCACCCAAATTAAGCCCCTTCTGTATGGAAATGCTGGAGCCACCACTGTCCGCAGCCAAACGCAGCTTCTTCCCGCCGCACGCTCAGGTCACCAAACACTGGGAAAAGCTTCCCGGAGCAGCATATGGTATTTACACGATCTCTGCGCTCTCACCACTCAATGCCTCTTATCTCCCTGCCCCATGAGCCCAGCCAAGAGGCATCCAGGTGCACCCGTCCCGTCCCATCCCAAAGGTCCCCAAGCCATCCTGGGCGCGCGCGTGTAAAGAAAGTCCATGGAATTGCATTGCATCTGCAGGTGGCCCGCTGTTTCCATTTTTCCTTTCTCATGAATAGACTTCGAAGCAGAGCCGAAGAAGAGCAGAGAAAGACGAACTGACCTGTGCTGGGCAAGGTTCCAGCCCAGGCTGGGAGCTCTCGGCGCCTAGGGAAGATCGAAGTTGCACGGCGAGTTGGTCCTCGGCGGCGCACCGCCCTTGCTCTCTTCCCTCCGAGCACCCTTTTTAAATTAGCCTCTCTCTCTCTCCTTCTCCTTCTCCCGCTGCGCTTGCACTCCCAGCCTCCTGGAGATGCCTCCGCCTCTCCAGCTGGGCGCCCAGGATCAGATAAGAGGAAAGGAAGACCCGCCGGCAGCCAATTATAAAGCTGAGGGTAGCCGCGGGGGCGGGAGATGGGGAGGTGGGAGGCAGGCCTAAATCCTTAACGCCCCCCACTTTCTCTCCTCCTCCACTCCCCCATCCCCGCCCTACCGGAGATGTCTAGGAGCAGCCCCGTGCTGCCCACGCGCTCCCCTTCCCGGAACCTGGCAGTCGCCCCAGGTGCACGCCGCAGCCGGGTGTGGCGCTCCGGGAGCGAGCCGGGCTTTTTCCCTTCCACAGGGGCAGAAGCTAGTGCAAGCTCTCAAGCCAGCCCCCCCACCCCCGTCCCCGGTGGCTTTGGGAGGTCTGGAGCCCTCCGGTTTTCAGGTGCTGTGTGGCCACTTCCCCATTCTCAAAAGACCGACCTTGCCTTTCCGCGTCAAAGGCTCCGAGTCAAAGAGGTATCCACTGTAAAGGCCCCCTTGGAGTCTCCTCTTCTCCCTCTTCCTCTTCCGAATAAGCCCAAGGACTCTAAAACGCCAAAGCAGCGATGCCCAAACTTTAAGGTGCAGGGGAATCGGCTGGAGGTATCGAAATTGACATTTTTGTAGGTTACAAAAGGACAAATATCGGCTATTTCCTGTGGTTGTACCTCGTAACCTGCCGATTCCCCACCCCACCCGCAGAGATTCTGGTTCAAGGAGCTTGAGCTAAGGCCTCGGACCCTGCAATTATCACACCCCCTGGTGGTTCAGATCCTTGCAGTCCATGCTTTGAGAGGCTCTGCCCTGAGATGTGAAGAACAGGAGGCCACCGGGCCCGGCGCTGGCTCTCTGGAGACTCGGTTCTCACCTGCTGAGTGGGCCCTCTAGAAAAGTCACCACCTTTACTGATTTTTGACCCATATCTCCCATCCTGCACGCCCGTTTCTTTACAAATGTTAGAGGGGGACGTTGGGTGGAAACTGAGAATTCAGCAAAACCCTATTTTGTGAGAAAATACTTTCTTGCCTTGGAAAAACTGAAAAGAGTATTTCACCACCATCAAAGGCTGGTGATGGAGCGAAGAGAGGGGAGAGCAAGTGGCACTCTTAGGTTTCCAAATTTGCCTCCATCATGCCCAGCTGAGAATCCAGATAGAAGGGCTGCGATTTGCAAGGTGGTCCCTCCGACATTCCAACTGCCCAAGCTGCTGCTAGCCACCTCCTCTGCTCTCCCCGAATATGTTACTTGCATTCCTGGGCATGCTCCGAGCTGCTGCAGGGGTCCTGCGGCTGGAGTCAGTGGAAGGCCCCTTCCAGCCCCCACCGCCTCCCCGCGTCTCCCGGTCTCGCTAGGAATTGGCCTCAATTTAGCTACAGGGCGCGGCAGGAGCAAGGCGCCTTTCGGCTTCCGCGCTTCGCTGAACGCAATTCTCTGGCTGGCGTAGCTTTTTAGGAGACCAGCTCAGAGTCCAAGGACTGCAAAGAGAGAGCGCCACCTCGTGTTGCGCGGGTTCGGGAGAGGCGGGATCTAGAACCCCGAGTCGCCCTAGATCCACACGTAGGGACTACAATGCCATTTTAGTTATATCTTTCTCCGTCTGCCCCCATAAAAGTGTCTCTCATCCTCATATTCTGAGTCCCCTTTTCGCTAATAAAAATTTACTCTTGTGTTCGTTTTTACCAACATGCAGATGACTAGCATAGGCTTTTCTTATACTTCCCTCTGATGAGGTAGTTGCAATGTTAGCACGAAGTTTAAGTAAAAGATAGGGGAGTTCCAATCATTTAATTACAGAAAATTGGGAATGGGAGGTTCCCTGATGATTTTAAGATGTGAAATATGTGTGTAAAAACCCACAAATAAGCTTAATATTTGTTTGATAAAAATCTTATGTGATGATTTGTATTGATTTAGTAACCGTATAAAATGGGCTTCTTTTTAAGAATTCTAACTCACCCTTTGTTCCTCTCCTTAACTTTTGACTTCTCGCATTTCATTTTAAAGTTAGATAAACCTCAGTTAATGTTGAATCAGAATGGCTGGTTTCAATCAGTTTTTCATTTAGTTGCAGTTATGTGTGAAGTGTCAGCCCTTTCGGGAGTGGTTATTCAACACTGATCTTAAGGCCAGCCCTCAGAGTCTGGTGGAGTACTGGGAACTGAATCACAGAAACAACACCAGAAGACCCACTGAAGTTTCCCTGCTTCAATCTAGAAAAAAACTGCATATGAATATCTGGGGCCTTTTGAAAGATAACCAAAAATTCCAGCTTCCCACAGTAACTGATTTCAGAATGAGACAACTGTGACATGACTGTGATCCTATTTCTCTTTAAAGACTGCACACACACCTCTGCCCCTTTCTTGTCTCACATTAGTGAAGTTATTTTGCCTCCCTGAGCCTAACTCCTCATGTGTGAAAAGAGGGTATGGCCAGCGCAGTGGCTCATGTCTGTGATTACACAAAATTGGGAATGGGAGGTTCCCTGATTATTTTAAAATGTGAAATCTGTGTGCAAAAACTCACAAATAAGCATATTTGTTTGATAAAAATCTTACATGATGATTTGTATTGGTTTGGTCATCATATAAAATGGGTTCCTTTTCAGGAATTCTACCTCATCCTTTCTTCCTCTCCTTAACTTTTGGCTTCTTGCATTTCACTTTAAATGTAGATAAACCTCAGTTAATGTTAAATCAGAATGGCTAGTTTCAATCAGCCATTCTGATTCAACCTGGGAGGCGGAGGCAGGTGGATCACTTGAGCTCAGGAGTTCAAGACCAGCCTGGGCAACTCGGTGACGCCCTGTCTTTACCAAAAATACCAAAAAATTAACCAGGCATAATGATGCACACCTGTAGTCCCCACTACTTGAAGGGCTGAGGCAGGAGGATCATGTGAGTCCAGGAGTTCCAGGTTGCAGTGAGCTGAGATGGTGCCACTGCACTCCAGCCTGAGTGACAAACTGAGACCTTGTCTCAAAAAAAAAAAAAAGAGGGTAATTAATTATATCTTAGGGGATTGTCATGTGGGTTAAATAATAGATGTGTTTATGGACCTAATCCATAACTAACAATTAATACATGGCAGCCATGTTACCCAAACTGGTAATATCCCCCTTCTGCCCATTGCATAGGACTGTACTCTCTTCAGCTGCCCCTTCTGGAAGATTCTCGTTTCCATGTTTCTCAACAGAGGTACTATTGACATTCTGGGCAGGACAGCATGGCTACCCCAGACTTTGTAGAATATTGATCATTCCTGGCCCCATCGACCAAATTCCAATAGCACCTACCCATCTCCTAGGCATTGTGATAACAAAAAAATACCACCACACAAGCTGTAGCAAACCCCAGTTTCAGCTGAACAAATTATTTGCAGTTCTACTCCAACCTCTCTGCAACATCCAGCTGTGATTTTTTTTTCCCTAATCTGGTGCCCATTCTACCTTGATACTCAGCCAGTAAGTGATTACCAGCTGATAATAACATGTCATACCTATGAGCAAGAACATAACCCAATTCCCTACCCCTCTCCCATGATCCCCCATCCATGCTGACTACCCCATTCCTGCTTCTGGGACTCCCATATTTGCCCTGATCTTACAATAGCATAGCTGGTAACAGAGGGTTGATCGCCAGCACAGCAGGGTGTCTTCCAGACTCTGCCTCATAGCCAAGGGCCCATGCCCCTTCTGACTGATGTCTCTGTCATACCAGCTGTTAAACACTTTGTATCTCACCCATAGTAGCAGAAGTCTAAATTCCGTTAGGAAATTACCTCCAAGGCTGGGCACGGTGGCTCATGCCTGTAATCCCAGCACTTTGGGAGGCCAAGGAGGGTAGATTGCCTTAGGTCAGGAGTTCAAGACCAGCCTGGCCAAGATGGTGAAACCCCATCTCTTACCAAAAATACAAAAATTAGCTGGGCGTGGTGGCAGGCACCTGTAATTCCAGCTACTCAGGAGGCTAAGGCAGGGAACTGCTCGAACCCAGGAGGCAGAGGCTGCAGTGAGCCGAGATCTTGCCACTACACTCCAGCCTGGGAAACAGAGAGAGACTCCATCTCAAAAAAAAAAAAAAAAAAAAAAGGAAATTACCTCCAATCCATTGTATGCAGTTGCTGGGGGGTTGTCATTCAGCTTGCCCTTTTTCCCCTATTCCTCAAGTTAGTGGGCATAGAGTCTAAGCCAAAGAGATACTCTCCCCTCGAATATGAGTATTAAGTCATGGGACATAGGGCAGGAAAAATGTTTCCTGAACTTTTATCTCAGTTTATCCTAACAATGAGGCCTGAAGGAACACTATCTCCTAATACCCAGATAGCACTCTCACCTACAGCAGGAGCGCACCATAGCAGTTATACCAGTTGTTAAAATCTTGAAATGCGACTAGGTGCAGTGGCTCATGCCTGTAATCCCAGCACTTTGGGAGGCCAAGGAGGGCAGATCATTTGAGGTCAGGAGTTCAAGACCCGCCTGGCCAATATGGTAAAACCCCGTCTCTACTAAATACACACACACACACACACACACACACACACACAGACACACACACACACACACACATATACACACACACACATATGTGTATATACACATATATGTGTGTGTGTATGTGAATATGTGTGTGTGTGTGTATATGTGTTGGCCAGACACACACACACACACATATATATACACACACACACACACACACACACACACACACACATATATATATATATATATATATATATATATATATATATATATGTCTGTGTGTTGGCCAGGCATGGCGGTGCAAACCTGTAATCCCAGCTACTAGGAAAGATGAGGCAAAAGAATAGCTTGAATCCAGAAGTGAGGGTTGCAGTGAGCCGAGATCACCCATTGCACTCCAGCCTGGGTGACAGAGCAAAACTCCATCTCAAAAAAAAAAAGAAATATTTTCATATTGGTTGGTAATTAGCTGCCTCTCCAGCACCCTGAATGTCCTCTTCCCTCCTCCTCCCCGGGATCTACCTCAGATCTCCCTTTTGATCCCACAATTGAAGAGGTAGCCTTTAGATTTTCTGCAGGCCTCTAGCTCCCTGCTGAAATGTAGCTTCCAACATTCATTCTGACTGGACTGTCCCTGTGTCACCCTGGTTGCTCAATCTTTTGAATACCAGCACTGCTCACAGCTCCAGAACATCTGACTTCTGTTCTTCCTGAACCTTTTGTCTCAGTCCATGAACAACCCCATTAGCTCCAGATTTGATTTATTTCCCTATTAATGGAAAAAACTCAACCAAATCAACCGTTATTTCACCAATCCTGAAGTTGGAACAAAAGACACGAGAGAGCTTGTCCAAACGTACCCAGAGTATTAACAGCAAAGTGAACACTAGAATTCAAACGGTTTGACTCCCAGGCCAGAGCTTTTTCCATTGTAGTGTGCTGACTTCCTTCCAAACAATATAGCGATACCTCCCATGCTCCTATAGGGTTTTTGCTTTATGACTGCATTCAAGTCCATCACCCTATTTAATACATTAGCTCTGCAAGGTTAAGACTTATTCAGAGGTGAAAATCATATTGTCTCCTGTCCTTTACGGTGCTGGAGCCCTCCCTTTCTCACAATTGCCTTTCATGTTCTTGAACCAATGATTAAGACATTCCTCATCTTTTCAGTTCCGTGGCCCAGATCAAAGTCATGGCCCTAAC